AGAAAGAAAGAAAGAAAGAAAGAAAGAAAGAAAGAAAGAAAGAAAGAAAGAAAGAAAGAAAGAAAGAAAGAAAGAAAGAAAGAAAGAAGCTATATTAGAAGGAATTTCATAATGTTGAGCTGTACTACTCGGTGGGGAAATGTCTCAAGGGAAATGCAGGGAGCTTAAGCCATTTAAAATTAAACTGGGGAAAGTAATAGGAAATGCATTATGAAGAACAATCCTGTAGTGCCAGGGAGATGGACTGGAAAGCTGACAAGCCTGTCTTTGTTTTTAACTCGGCAAGGCCAAATCTTTCACTGGTGTAAATTGGTGCTGCTCTGTTTAACCCTGCCAGAGCTGTGCTTAATTTCCACCATCTGCATGTTGGAAACCGTGAATCAATGTAGACAAGAAGAAAATGATGGAAAGAAACTCCAGTGGGTCCCAAGGAGAAGGGAGAGCAAATAGACTTTAAAAGTGACTCTGGATATTAAAAAAATATATATATATATATATAGCTTAAGGCATTCAGGGCAGGGGGAGGAGGAGGTTTGTAATGAAGAATTTCTCTACGTTGAGTTATATGAGACATGGTCTTTGGGTTTATGGTCAATGAACTTTCCTCTTCTTTCATCCACCAGCATCTTTTAACAGAGCTCTTGCGCACAGACCGTCTTTTATCATGATTCGATCAGATTGCTCCCAACTCATAGAGCAGAACAAACCAGCGGTATCAGATGTTGTGTAAGACTGGGTGTTCTCTGAGGCAGGAACTGCCTTTTTTTGTTCCACATTTGTATTTGACACCAAACCCCTCGGTATTCTGCCTCTAAATGGATTCCGGGTGGCAGTTTGGTATATATAACACAGCTCAACAGATAATTTCAAGTAATTTTCACATTTTAAAAGAACCCTAAAAAGGTAGCTTCTATTCATCATCTTGCAGTCCTATATAAAACGGTTTCAAACACAGGATGTTTTCTGGAATGTATTTTAGGTGACTGTTATTTTAGAATTTTCTTTTTGGCTAACATCAGATACGGCGCTATTCATTTCACCGTTTTGATTTTTGTTTTGCACCAAGTTCTCCAGTTTGCCAGCAGCTTGCAAAGGGGAGATAAAAACTTTGTTTTCTAATTTTACACCAGACAGATACATTTTGAGGTGGTTTGTTGTTTTTTTGGTTTTTTTTTTGTTTTTTTTTTTTTTTCTCAGACTGGCAGTTTTGATAGAAACGGGAGGAAAAGAGAGGAGACAGAAATATGCACATCTCAGATGGGCTCAGATAAACCCATTGCCTCAACTGAAACCAGATGGGCACGCACATACTTGCTTCTGCTGCCTCTGCTGCAGGTATTTCCTTACTTGTGAGGGGGGAAAAAAATCTCCACGAAGGCCTAAGCTCAGGGATATATGTCCCAAGTTGCTGCAGAAGGATCTAGCAGAGCTTGTCGGTCTGTCAAGGTCATTAGTCCTTGTTTTCCTTTAAGAGGAGAGATCCGTTCCCTTGCAGTACGTAGCCATGCCTTTGAGATATGGCCAGTTCACAGAGCATTCATTTCTTTTGTATCATGTTATGCTGGCTGCGATTTTTTTAGCTTTTTCCCAGGCCTTTCATCTTCAAAAAGCTTAGCAAATCCAGGCGTGGAATCTTGCCTTTGAGGTTATACGGTTGGAAATCAGGGAAGAATTTGGCATTTCCAGGGAAGCTAATACTGTAGAAATTCTTCCAGAGTAACTTCAATTATAAATCAATCACCAGCATTTTAAGATACTCCATTATCAATAATTGAATGTGAATAAATTCCTAATTTACACTCCTCCGTCTCTTCTCTGTATAGTTTTCTTTCTCTGTTCCCTGCCAGAGACTGTTTACTAGATGGCTGAGCGGAAATCCAAGAATAACCTTTCTATTTATGGTGTTTCATGCATATGGATGTGGAAAGAGCTAATCTGCCTCACGCAGTTGCAGCCGGGAGCTTTGAATCCCCGCTAACAGCTTTGACAGTGAACACCCAGGGTAATGTGAGAATAAGCTCAAGGGACAACCTGGGCTCACAACTGTGCTATGAAGGGGGGTGGGAGAGGGTGAAGAATCCACCTCCTGTCCTGGGGTGAAGAAGACTGACCAAAGAGGAAGTGCAGCCATGGTTTGCCATGCTGAGCATCCCTCCGTGTTTCTTTTTTATGGAAAGAATCTCCTAGCACACACTTGGGATTGCAGACAAAGCACCCAGGGAAAGCGAGAGCTTAGCTCACCCTTTCTCCACCTCTTGCCCCGACAAAATTGTGTTGGCCGTGAAAAAAAAAAAAAAAAAAAAAAAATCTGAAGGGCACTTGTTTAACAGGAGCAGAGCTGGCTGGCTGCTTCTCTTTAAAGTTCTCGACACACATCTGACTCAAGCAGCTGTAAAGCTTTCCCTAAAACATAACCTAGCCCTAACCCGAAGGGCCCTCCATAGAAATGAGTCTCTGATTCATTAAACCCTGAGGCTTCTCTGCAGAAATGCTTCCAAAAGTGACAGCATGCTCTGGCTGCCAAAGCAGCTCCTCAAAAAACCTGGCCAGGCGCTGGTTACTGTTAATTAAAAACTGAATTCTGTCTTCTGATTGAGACTTTTGGCAGCAGGAGTACTGGAGGATACTTCTCGCCTCACTTTTCTGCTTAGTGGGGTTAGAATGGTTGGAGCACGTGGGGAGACGGGAAAATGTACAACGGGAAAATGCTGAACGATGAGCAGTGATTTGTTGTGTCAGACACCAACAGGGAAACTCAAAGTACTTTAGCTGGTGAGAAGTCACACAGGCAACACACGCCTCTCCAGCTGGGCCTGGGAGGTGGGCAGGTATGTATGTGCAACCAGTGCACAGGGCTTGAAAATCCACCTTAGGTCTCGCCGATACTGCTCGAGTCACAGCGGGATCTGCAGGGAGTCCCTCGTGGCCCCCAGCTCTGCAGTGTGCACGGTACGTCTGGCAACATTTCCTACCCCAAAAAAGAAGTGGGGTTTTTTTTGCGGCTTTGTTTGTTAACATCTGCCAAGCGCTTCAAGCTCAGAGTATAAAAGTTTCTGGAGAAATAAACCTAAAGCTGAGATGTTGGTTTTTGGTTTTTTTGTGTGGTTTTTTTTTTTTAAAAATCCTCTTCTCAATCTGTCTTTCTTTGTAATTTTTGGAAAATAAAATGGTTAAAACCTTGCAAATAACCATGTTTCTTCACTGTGCCATGTGCCAGCTACTCTAGGCAGATATTCAAAAATACCACATTGGTTTTAATCAAAGCCCTGAGGATGCTGACAAATTATCAAAGAGAGAGCGAGAGAGAAAATTGAAATCTGCCATTTAGTTGTGCCTTTGACATCTCGCTAATTAACAGATGGAGGAAAAATGAGGAAGCGCTGCCTGAATGGATCATTTCAGTGCTAAATCAGGGGAAAAGCAAACAAACAAACAAAGTCCAAGTGGTCTCCTACCTTATTCCGGGTCTGGGTCTGTCCGATCAGGATGAGAGCGTTGGAGGAGATGATGGATAGGCAGAAGTTGATAAGGATGACAGAACGCTCTGAGCGAATATACCTGCAGCAAGAGAAGAGGGGAAGGGAGATCCACCCTGTAACAACTTGCATTAAGTTACCTCTGAAAAGCATCAACCAGGTGCAGGTTGCACTGGGCCAGACTCTAGAGAAGGCCATGGTTAAGAGATTGCCCATTTCCTGCAGACCTTGTATGTTAAAACAGACAAGAACAAGGGGAAAAGGGAGGGGGAGAGCTTGGGTGTAGTGCTTAGCCCACAGATCTCTCCATCCTCCCCCATCAGTGCTGGAGCTATGAGCATGAGTCAACAAACTAGGGGCCAGCCCGGTCCCTAGTCTGAGCCGCTCCTAAAACAGTAGAGTGCTGCAAGTCGTCTTCAGCTCGGCTTATTTGAAAGGGGGCTTGAAAAGGAGCTTAAAAGAAAACATACAGGCAACACACGGAAAGATTCCCAAATCAGAAGAACCACAGGCATGCTGGCGATGGAAGCGGATTACGAACGCATGCACCCTCACAACAAAGTGGTTGGGGTTCAGCATTCCCCTCCGTTTAACCTAACAGCCCGTCCTGAAGTGAGAAGCATTGGCGGCTTTTTCCAGGCGGAGAGGTTTAACACTTCTCAAAAGCAGGCCAGATCCCTAACTGCAGCTGTGGGTCTGGGACGTTAGGGATCCACGTTAGGAAGCTGTTGCCTTCAGCACCTTGCAAGAGCAAGCTAGTTGTCATTTCCGATTTGCAACGTGCAGCACGGCTCCAGCTTGCTGCCTAGGTATGTGCACCACAGTTCGGACCACTGGCTACAGAGGAAAACTTCTTTGAAGGCACTTTTCTGAGCCTAATAAAATTAAAAGGGAATTGCTAAAGTGCAAGTCCTCAAGGACTGACTCAGGACCTGACCATACCAACACTCACACACGTGAATAATCTCAGCGATTCTGCAAGTGTCCTGCCTGAATTCCAGATGAGTGAAGAGTAGACGCTGATGCTTATAGAAATTAGAAACAGATCTATTAATCAACCAGCTCATCCCTGGAGGCTAATGCAAGATTATTTCCTGTATTCCAGTACATCAACTATTTATATTGGGAATTTAATTTAATTAACTCATTTTAGCAAGAGTGAGTTGGTCGTGCTTTGGCTGCAGAGTTTTGAGTTTCTGACTGTGTGGTCAGGATGAGTTTACTGCACGTGTGTGTTTTGCCAAGGGTAAACCTACTAGGGGCTGCAAAACTTTGATTTTAACTTCCCTCTGAGTTTCACCTTCAGACAAACATGAATATTTGAGGATATGCTTTCCTGGATACAAAAAAGTCACCGATGTAAAGTAGCCTGAATTCATACTTAGTCTGTTGGAAATTTGATTTATAAGTCGTTCTCCCTGAAACTCACCCAACCCCAGACCAGACTACAAACTTTAGGCTTCCAGCTCAGCTAGAAACTGGGTCGACTGCCTGAAAAACAAGCCTCTCGTTCCTTTCATGGCCAATCTAATTCCAAATTTCCCCATTTCATTGGGCTCAGTACAATGTTGTGCATCACGTGGATCCTATTCCATTTGTGGCTGGAAGGTATTGAGCCATCAATCTATCTATGCTTTGATTGTGTAAAATAAAACATCAAGTGTCCAGGCAGCAGCTTCTAGGGGGATAGAAAGGGAGATTTGGACTCTGTCCTGGTGGGAATGAGATGTAATAAATCTGTGTAGCAACACTATGATCCAACTGGCATTAGTGTGCACTTCGAAAGTCTCCTTTGGTCAAAAAAGGTAAGAAATTAATTGCCCATAAGTATAGTCTGTGTGTGAACGTAGGGGAGGATAATCCAGCTGTCTTCAGACTTTTTCCCCCATTAAACAAGCTTCTCCTTTCCTGCTTCCCTTCAGGCACTGAGAGTGAATCCTCTTCCCCAGATCCCTGAACCTCCAAAAAACGAGACGTGGGTTGACAACATGTAGATTCACAGAAACAGAATAATTTATGTTGGGGAAAAAACTCCTGAGTTCCCAGTCCAATCCTCTGCCCCAAAACGGGCTAATTTCAAAGCCAGATCAGGTTTTTCAGGGTCTTGTTTATTCGATTTTTGAAAATCACCAAGAACAGAAATGCCACCACCTCTCTCGGAAGACTTGTTACAGTGCTTAACCGGTCTCATGGTGAAGGATTATTTTTCTTTATAACCAGCTGGATTTTTTTCTGCTGCAGCTGGCGCCTCTAGACATTTCACTGTATATCTCTACAAGTTGTCTGACTTCTCCATGACTCTTCCTTAATAGCCTCATCTTCTCCAAGCTAATGAAGTCTTGTTCCCTTTGTCTCCTTTTACATCGTGTTCTCCAGCTCCCTAAACATCCACTGGACTCGCTCCAATGTGCTGACATCTCTTGTACTGTGGGAGCCCGATATTGGGCACATTTTCCAGATGTGGCTTCAAAAGTGTCAAGCAAAGGGGAATAATCAATTCTCTTGACCCGTTAGCTATATTCTCGCCTATATAGCCCAGTATAATATTGGCCTTCATTGCTGCACAGGTGCGCTGCTGATTTATTTCCAAATCGTTGCCCACTAGCACCTGCAAAGCCTCCCCGTGGAAGTATTACCAGGCCAGTCAGTCCCCAGCCCATCCTGCTCCACACGGTTATTCTGTCCCAGGTGCAGGACTGTGTATTTCTCCAGCCTCTACCTCCAGTTTGCTGAGGTCCTTCTGAACAGCAGTGCTGCTCTCCAGCATATCAGCCACTCCTCCCAGTCTGGCATCACCCACAAACCTGCTGAAGGTGCTCTGTGCCCCATCGTCCAGGTTGTTAAAGAAGACATTCAACAATATTGGCCGTAGTATCAATGCCTGTCAGATGCAACTAGTAACCAGCTTCTGATTAAGCTTCAAATTTTTGACCATTAACCTCTAAGCCTGTATGAACTCCATCCAGCTATTAAGCCACCTTAGAAGCCACCAATCCGGGGCACAGTTCCCTGGTCTGGATACAAAGAGGGTATGGGAGACTGTGTTAACAGCTTTGGTAACATCAAAATATACAACACCTACTTCTCTCCACTGTCCATGAGACCCGTCATCCCATCACAAAAGGGAAACAGGTCAGTCAGGCACAATCTGCACTCAATAAATCAGCGCTGTCTGCTCCCAATCGCTTTCTTGTCCATCATTTTGCCTGGAAATAACCTTTATAACTACTTGCTACTTAATCTTCCCAGGGGCTGAATAGGCTGGATCCTCCTCCTTGCCCTTTTCAAAGATAGGTGCAATATTTGCCTCCTTTCACCCATTAGGACCCTCCCCAGATGATGGAGGGTGGCTCCACAGTAACACCAGCCAGATCCCTCAACACCCTCGGTGCATCCCATTCGGTCCCATTGACTTGCAAACGTCCAACTGACTGAGACGGTCCCCAGCTCTCTCTTCCTTGGCAGTGGGTAGTGGTTTCTTCCCCAGATTCTGCATTAGGTACAGGAACTTGGGTGCCTCTGAGCAAACCTTGCCAGCAGAAAAAAAGTGACAAAGGCACTTAATACCTTCACTTTCTCTCCTCCTTTCTCCATTAGGCTACTTGCCCCATTCAACACTGGCCCTACACTTTCCTGGGTACTCCTTTGGTGCTGACACACCTGCGGAACCCCTTCTTGGTGCCTTTCACATCGCTCACCAGTTTTAAACGCAGCTGGGATCTGACCTTCCTAATTCAGTCCTACATTCCTGGTCAATGGTTCCACAGGCCTCCTTGGCAGCTTGACCTGTCTACCAAACATTTCCTTGTTATGTTTCAGCTCAGACAGAAGTTATTCTAAGACAGCCTCCTGTCATGCTCGCTTTTTTTCCTCCCATTTCCTCTTCTCCAGCACAGGATGCTCCACAGAAAGAAATCACCATTACTATCCAGAACTTCCGGCCAAATAAATCACAAATTCATATCAGAGAGGATAAAAACACAGAACATGAAGTTTTTTTGCCAGAGGAGACATCTCTAGCAAAGGCAGAGCTACTCCAGGGTGCTGTCTCGCTACTCCTTGGCTGAAACCTGGACTCTGCCTACTTATCAAAATACGTTGTACTCAGCCACCAGGGGAAAACTCACTGCAAAATTAGGGAACGTCTGCTCTGGCCTGGGTCCTGCAGGATGTGGGGAAGCCCTATGCAAACCAAGACAGATGGAGAAGGTGGGAAAACCTTGAAGTCTGTGTCTCTCTCTGTCCTCATTACACTCCATTCCTCTCTGCAAACACTGAGTCACTCTTGCTTTCTCTCTGTGCATACACACATCCCTCTCCGTGCAGTCACTTACTCATTCCTGCTACCTCCCACCAGGGCCACTGAGTGCCTCAGCATCTCTGCCAAAGGCAGAGCTCCTGGGTTTAAAGCAAGTGTTAAAAGCCCCTTGAGATCTCACTGACAAGCACTAAATCAATCCTCAGGCTTCGATGAGCAGGGAGTGAGAAAAGCTCGCGCTGATATCTATACAGCACTCACCCAGCCAGTGAAAAAGGTCTGCCGTGCCCCACATGCTGATGGGCTGGTGGAAGGGCTATTCGATAGCAAGCATTGATCTCCGTGCTATGGAAAGGTCACTGACTTCAGAGGCTGTTGAACCGCAATGAGTTCAGGGATGGAAAACACACCGGGGCACTCCTGAAACACCAGCGCGTCAAGGAGCTGCTTGAGAGGAGTGGTGCAAACCAAAGCTTAGAGAGACACAGTATTAAGTCATTTCACCTGTTCTGACCCTTCAATAGTTCCTTTTCTCCCCAGTTTTTCATTTTCATGCCGGTTTTCAAGAGGGATGACCTTTTTCTTTCCATTCCCTGCCTTTATCCATGTGGGTGGTGGAGCACGTGGCCCCCACACAGATCGTGTCTCCAGCTGTGACCCAGGACAACCACTGCCGAGATGTAACAAGGTCGCTCCACTTCCACGGCCCACTGTGTCACTGACCTCTCTGTCGAGACTGCTAATAAGGCCAGAGACGCACCATCTGCAGGAGAGTTTTTGCAGCCATCTGTCTACTGGGAACTGGAGGGAGTCCACCAACAGGCCACCAACAGCCGTCAAACAGAAACAACGTCCAGTTTTCAGTGAGACTGTGCCAAGTTGGCTGTGGCTGAAATGATCGCCCGCATGAAAAAAGCTCATGCCGTTCACGCCGATGGCTGAGTAGGTGCCACTAAGAAGCAACCGTTACTTGGGGGTTTTGAATGAGAAGTGGAGGGTTAATTTATTTCCTCTCTGATATGCAGCCCAAAGCTGGGATCACCTCCTTTAATTGTGCCCCTTTTTCTTTATCATGTTCCTTTCTCTCTTTCTTCCCTGCCCTTTCTTTCTGCTTCCCGTGTATAAACAAACCCTAGCTGGGCAAAATTCTGGGAAAGTTTCCAGTTTGTCAGCCTCAGTGAGCTTATTCATCAGAAGTGTTTCATACTCAAGCAGAGTCTATGTATGCATGCTCCAGATGCCTTTGTCCAGAAGTCTGAATGGGAAATTTCCCGGCCAAAGCTCCCCAAAACAGCTGAGCTCTGGTGAGTGCTCTCCACAGAAGACCGGGCATGAGGACCTTCTCCCCTGAGTGGTGAAAAAGAACCACTTTGCTACCGCTCCTGTATTTTAACAACAGCTGGAATAATACTGCTGATCCCACTTCTAAGCATTCCTCCAGCTGTTGTCTACCAGACTACATAACATCTAGGACAAAACAAAATGGGAGCCAGGAGATAATGTTGACTTGAATATGATGTTCCTGAGACCATTAATAGGACAGCACATTCATGTCCAGCAGCTATGCCTAAAATGAAAAGGACACACAGAGTGCTCAGGGCTCAGCCACAGGAATGATGCAAAGTTTAGAAAACATGAAAACATGATCTACAGAGAAGAAATGAAACAAACTCAGCGCACCAGAGAGAAATTCTAGAGATCACTTGATCATGCTTTACAAATATTTACACAAAGAGACTTAGGATAGAGAGCCCTTTAATCAAGATATAGCTGGTCTCAGGATCACTTGGAAATGCATGTCCATCCTTGGCTAGCTCAGAAATACCCATTCAAGCCTCCCATAAACATGTGTCCCCATTCATGCTGATCATTTTGGGCATAGGCATAACGCAAAGGCTGGAATGAGAAATTAAAAAGAGCATATTTTAAACAGGGCAGGCAATTAACTTTACTGTCCTCAATAATAGTAAATATTGAGGGGGCACACTCCTGGAAGAAAATACATCATGTTATTCCAAATGACTCTGGCATGCTCCAAACTGATTCAACCTCGTGTCTGAACTTGGGTTTCAGATCCTGAACTTGTTTCTGATAGGCAAGAGAGGGTGAGGCTCGAACACTTGCTCTTTACTCTTCTATCCTAACTTTCCACTTGATCCTGACACCAGTGACACCAGTAAGTCACCTACCAGCGCTGCCCAGTGCTGCCCAGCCTGAGGAAAAGCAGGAGAGGACAAGGACTTGAGCAGGTCCAATGATACCCCAGGCACGGAAAAACCTGAGTTCTAGATAAACGTTATTATGATCAGTCTTCAGCTCGTAGCACTTGCCATAATTAACTAGCCACTATGCACTGTCACAGTATCAACAAAAAAAAAAAAAGATGCATTTTTTCTCATTTTTTACTCTCCTGTTTCTTGCCTCTATCAAAGGGTAGAAAAAAATTATCTCAGTTCACAACTCCAAACTGAATTTACCCCTTCCTTCCTACTAAAAAGAATCACTTGACAAAATAAGAGCCTCAGACTGACCCCTTCTCCCAAAAGGGTCACCAATAATAGACAAACAGTATATGCTCCGTAACCACTCCATTTCAATTTCACAGTCATTCACCTGGTTCTGATTTTGTTTTATTTAGCTTAGAGTCATGAAGTTCTCAGCGTGGGTCTCGGAGTATGAACTCAGACCTTGTTCAGTGCAGTATAGGGGGAGAATCCCTTGCACACCTCAGGTCCTCCAGCTTATACAGTCCACCAAAATGTATCTGACAACAGGGGCATGGGCCGATGTGGGCCTTTGTTCAGTAAAACTTTGCCACAAAATCACTTCGGCTTCTATAAACAATACAATTTAAGGTTACACCTGACCTGCTCATAGGCGTACAGGAGCTCTCTGCGATAGGATGTACTGAGGGATCCCATATGCGTCTGAAGCTAAAGGCAAAACATAGCTAAGAGGTCGGAGAGTTATTTAGACCATGTGGTTTCTCATCCTTAAGCTCCTGAAAAGTGCTGTCAGTTCTTCAGGCCAGATGTTTTCATACGGGGTGGTGGATGTTTTGATGTTCTCAGAGACCCAACTGGGAACACCTTGAAGCAACCAGGCTGCCAGGAGGCAGTGCACATCCACCTCTCCACGAACAAGGTTTCCTGGGGTATGCGAAGGCATCTACAAGAGCGCACGGCTTTTGAAAAGGGAACAATGCGACTACATGGGGTCATGGCACTAATTTCACTGTACTAATTTCTCTGGCTCTGAAAGGAAAGAATCATGCCAACTAAGCCGCCACGATGACTTTTTGCAGGACCCACTCATTACCAAATGGTTCTTCCTCAGGCACCAGACACCCAAAACAGGAGAGCAAAACCTCCAGGACCCATGTAGATCAAGAGACAGTAACTTTCCCCAACAAGAAGAGAAGAGAATGAAAGCCATACCTCCAAACAGAGACATAAATGATAATCAACAGCAAAAGTGTCAGCGAAGATACTCCACAGCCTACAATTAACGTGACAGAAGGGACCAGCACCTTTTCCATGTTCTGAAAGAGAGAAAGTAAGACATTAAAAAAAAAAAAAAAAAAAAAAAAAAACTACCAGCTCAATTTCATGGCAAGAACTATCCTCCTAATTGTGTCAACTCACCTGACCTTCACATTGCACTGCACATACAAATAAAGATGAAAGAAGACCGGGATCTATTTCTGGTTGACCCAGCCTTTTTTTTTTTGGACCTGATTCTGCTCCCACACACACCAGTGTTAAGTCTGGGTGACAACTCTGTTATCCATGGCAAATCAGGTGTGTAAAAAGGCACGGGGTGCAAGAGGAGGATCAGGCCTTTGATCCGGTGTGAAACTTTGAAGGTAATTAATGAGGCAACAGCAGAAGGCAGTGCCTATACTAGAACAATTACAAATGAGATCATCTGGGAATGGCAGTGATGAAGGTTGGAGGATGAAAAGAAGTTGAAAATCTTCCACCAACTACAAACAGCCGTCTGGAAAAGGAAGAGATGAAGCAAGCAAAGAAAAAAAACAAGATGTATCTCCTCCCCAAAGACCCAGCATCGAGACACATCATCCATCACTTCCCTACTCTTACACTACTACACAAGGCATTTCTTCAGAAGCAGGGGTCCTTACGGGAAATTCAGGTGTGGGATCGTTCTCCTTTCCCGTCTGAACACGAAAGATCTGCTGGCCATCAACTCTTGCAATGTCAAGAACAGACACACGTGCTATAACCTCTGCTAATCGAGTTCTCTGCATCACTGGGACTGTGTAACCAGCCAACATCTGCCAGACTAATATCACTAAACTCCCCCTGTTCTCAGCTTGGAGTGAGGATCTGGATCCCACATGGTTTTCCCTGCTGCAGGCTTTTTTTCTGGCATGTTTCTCATTTCCACATCAGTGATCTCTGCTGTCGTGAAGGCAGAGAAGCAGAGACCCACCGTGCAGCAGACACACGAGAACCCTCTATTTAGAGTGATTAGGCAATATGCAGAGGTGTGGGAGCACAGTTAAGGTTGTCATTCGGTTGGCGTAGTACCAACACATATCGCCACAGCCATGGAGATGAGATGGTTTCTGACATAGCGAGGGCTTAGCATAGGAAAAAAACAAACCCCATGCAATTATGCATGAATTTGGGACTGGAAGAGGCAGTCCTCTAGGGACTTATCTACACTGTTTTGTTGGCAGGCACAAGGCTGCTCAACCTGAACTTCCAATCCGCGGGACGCCACAAAGCTGAGGCTACTGCAGCCCTGTTCCAGGCTACTGAGCCTTCTGCAAAGCAAAATATATTAGGCAAGGCTCAGTGCTATACTTATGTGGAGACTGACCAGCTCAACACATGCGCAAAGCAAGCATGTGTCCATTGACTCAAGGCCCACAGTCAGTGCAGGTTTACTCCACAGAGCCCACCAAGAAGAAGAGACAAACAACCCTGATACCTAGGGACCTGAGATGAGTTGTCCCTGAATTCTGAAGGGCTTGGGAAGATCCTCCTTACCTGCATATTTTGACCAAGGGCACCTCTCGCATTTTAAATCTCATTGGGGGGAATTAATGTGGATCAAGACTTCCACCACACTGCTGCAGTGAACCCCACAGGAGCTATTGGGATGGCTGGCACAAGAGTTTAAGGGATCCAAGACAAAATTTAGTGATTCAGTGGCTCGAATGCCCAACTGGCATTTATACCCGAAGGAGCACAGGTTGATTAAGGGATCTTTACTGGATGGAGACCAGCTACAGACTGGAAGCCAAACTGCACTGCAGTGTGATGCAACGTCCCCTCCCTTCTGATCACATTAGCTCTGACACGTCACTACCCCAGCATGCCTGTACAGCTTCCTTGAGTTTGATCTGTGAAACAGGAGGCTTAGGACTCTCCAAAACTGCACCATCGATACGTACAAAAGGTTTGGATGCCGATTCTAATTCAACTTGCTGAAATTACGGGACCGGATTTCCAGCAATGTCTTAGCTTAGTTTAGTTTAAACTAAGCTTAGCTTAGTTTAACTACCAGCCATTGGGCAGAAACTGCAAGAATAACACGGCACTGAGCCTCACCGATCCATTCACCGAGGTCCCGCATCTCCCTCCACCTAGAGCTTCCCAAAATGCTCGCGGAAAATATTTCAGCTCACATGTGGATTCTTCCTCTAAACTTCAACAGAGACTTGGATCGCTGTGATTTTTAACATCAACTCATATGACTTCCTTCCCACCCTGAGAATTTACACCTGCCAAATATTTGTGGAAGGTTAGAAGCAGGTTTTTTGGGGAAAGTAGGTAAACATCAAGAAATTTCAATGAAAATATCAACATTTTGATTCATCTCCCATCCAACAAAATTGAATTTGGACATATTCCAGGCACCAGGAGTGCTGAAATATCATATCCTTATAAATTGAAATGTGGAAGGGACTTTATTCTGCGAACAGAAGGCTCTGATGTAGTCAAGCACTGGGATAGATTATGGGAGAGAGAGATGCAGTCTCCAGCGTGGAGCCACAGCTTCTCCCTTAGTCACGTTTTTTTCCCCCACTGCAGAACTCAGGTGGGGAACAGCCCCGTCCCACCCCGGCGAAGCATGGTTGTGAGAAATGCACTGCGAAGCACAAGCTACACAGCCATTGCTCCTTGCTCCACGCTCCCTTCCAACCCTTCTTCTCTCCCTCCTCCCCCCTTATGGCAATATGAGTTCACATCGCACAAATGGTGGCCTGGGATGAGCATCAATTGTGACATTTGATTTAAGTAGGACTCATTTCACTGACTTTTCATGGGTAACTGGATAAAAGTGGGGGAGGAGCTCGATGAGAGCAAAAAAGCCCAACATATAACTCATTCCTAAACCATCTGAGAGTAACTGAAGAAATGGAGTTTGGATTTCAAGAGATGAGTGGGCCACATCTCTGTTTCTCCAACACAGTAACTGTAACTCCCCTCCCTTCCACGTTCTCTCTGACATCCCTTCACCCCCAACAACCTCAGGTTCTTTCACTCCCTTCCCTATCCCCTTTCCCACATCCCACATAACAGTCTCTTAAATAAGAGGTCGCACGTAGTGGACCGTTCCTAGGTCAGATATTCGTTCACTGGCAAGGCATTACACAAATGACGGCCAGCCAAGTGGAAGCCGGACTTGTGGGTAACAGCTGGTGTCTATCTGCAGCCCTTCCCACACAAAAGATCCTGATCTCCTTTATCCATCAGACAAACTTACACAAAACCCATGCCCACCAGAAGGACTTTCCCTGAAGAGATGCTACGAAGCCCATCCCTTCTCCATACAGAAAAGGGATGGTTGCCCCAGCCCCGATGGGATTTCTGTTGGCATCATGAGGGTAGATAACCATAAAAACCACTGGCTGCGATAAGAACAGGAGCTCGCTCCTTTGGGAATAGGAAGTCCTAAAGGCTTAGTCCCATATAGTTTAGGAATCTGCTTTCTTTCTTCATTATTAGGGTTTCTGTCCTGCCTATATTCCTTTCTCCCTCCCCCACTTATTCCCTTCGGCAAACAAAGCATCGTTTGCTTTATTTCTTCTAATTAAGCCCCCTGACAGAAGGTGGTCGGCTGCTGTAGGATCTGACCCTTGCAAGGGAAATTTCCTTGGTGGAGAACAAAGGGGGAAAGCAAGGTCGGTTTAAAAGTTGCTATCCAACAGAAAAAGAGCAAGGCCTTCTCAAGGTAGGAGAGAAAACAGTCCTACGGGAGTTTCTCAGCACCACAGCTGAGGAGCAAACTGGTTGTCTGCAAAAGACAGTCTGGGAACAGAGGTTCCACCCGCTTGGACTGGAGATGGTCCCAGATGGCGCAGACTCTGCCCCACCCCTCCCCATGCTGATGCCATCCAGAAGCACCCCTGAAACACAGATGAATCGGTGCCCGGTTGGAGCTGGAATGAAAATCTTTGCTTGGGCCAAGCAGGAACAGAGCAGGTTGTTACAAGTCACAAGTCCTGCAGTTCTGTCACCAAGCATGCAAAGGGAGAAGAGGAGCAATCAATGACATCAGCTGGGATGGAAATAACGAGTGCCACTGCCTGGGGCTGCTCGCTGTCCTACTACCTCATCACTCTGACTAGCAGGGCAGAAGGAAAGTCCTCCTTTTCTTTATAATTTCACTTTGCTTCCTTCTCTTCTATTTCTTTCTTTTCCTTTCTCCCTATTTTTTTTTCTCTCCTTTGTCTTCCTTCCTCCTTTCCTTTGGCCATTTTCCATCATATATTCTGCCTTTTCTTCTTGCTCTTAATGCATCTCTCTGGCCT